TCTTCCGAACAGAACGAGATGTTGCTGAAGAAGCTTGACGACGTGGAAAACCAGGTGGGACAGAAGGTGTTGTGTTTGATTTTGGTGGGAATGATGTGGCAGAAGAATTTGAATTCGAAGAATCATTTTTCCCGCCAAGATAGCTCTGCCAAGTGGATTTCTCAATATAAACCGTTTTACCCTTCCATTTCTGTTTAACCAAGTCGAGAGGGAAATCCTTGAGAGATTCAGAAATTGATTCGGAATGATCCTCCGAAATAAAAGCCTTGGGGAGATCCTGGAAAATAGCTCTAGGAATCTCCTCCATAGAATTAGTCGCCAAAATATGAACACTTTCCTTAGGAGGCGAAATTTGAATACTTTCCTTAGGTGGCACTAATTCAATAGGAATTTCCTGAAAATTTGCTGAATTAAAGATAGGCGAAGAAGGTACCAAAATGTCCTTCCCTTTGTCATCCGCAGATGATGAGGCATGCGCTGGAAGAGAATCTGATGGCTTATCAACTGGTGCAGTCACCTGTTCTGACCATTGAGATTGCAGAATAATGTCACCTTGAGCTATCAATGCATTAAGATGCATGCCGACTACATCCGCACCTAATTGACCCACACCAATAGGGGTGATATCTAAAATAACCTCCCTAGTGATAGAATCAATCTGAGAGGTGTATGAACAAACCACTGATTTAGGGATACAATCTGCCGCTTTAACTCTGACCAGAATACGGACATCTTGAACATTAATCTTGTCTTTTATGTTTTTGCACCCCTTAACCAATTCTCCGAAAGAGCTAATAATCTTCTCAAGAATGTCCATAGACCAAAAATGAAGAGGAAGATTATTAATTCTGATCCACTGATAGAAAGCAGAATCAACAATTTTCATACCAATGTTTTCGTGCCATGGTGCAAACCAACCTTTGAATTTCTCAAAATCAAACAATTTCACATCTGTAGCTTCAGATAATTGAAATATAGTTGGAAACTCCACCAGAAATCTGTTGCCCTGAATAGGGATAACCTTACCAGACCAAAGCTGCCAATTAAAAAGACAAGATAATTTCACCTTAATCAAATCAAGAGATGGAGACCCCTCTGTGATTGTAAGGATGGCAAAAGATGCAAGAACCTTAGCGTTATTGCAAAGAGAAGTAGAATCAGAAAGGTCAACCTTTTTATGCAATGGACGAAGATGTGATCTGCAATTCTTAGCAATATGTCCTTCTTCGTGACATTTGAAGCAAATAAACGCACCTTTTGGACAAAATCTAGAAGAATGCCGATCATCTCCACAGTTAAAACACCTCTTTGGTTGCTTAGGATCCCTGAAGAAAGCAGGATAAGGATGGCGAAGCCGATTGCCATCCATGGGACGACCTTTTTTTCTTCGAACAATCGTTAGAAAATTGTTTTTAACTTCTTTGAAACTAGGCCACGAACATCAAATGCAGTTTCAACTGAGATCTTGTACTAAAAAAGGGAATAACAAATACGCTACAAAATCAAGAGAAGATGTGGTGAAGTGTTCACTCACTGATACAATTCAAAGATAACATTACACCACACAAAAATGCATCGCTAGGTTTTATAAGAGCATATAAAATAGAAGAGAGGTGGTGGGTTTTTTTTTCTTGGGTGGGTGGGGGTGTGTGTGTGTGTGCGTGGGGGGTGGGGGGTGGGGTGGGGGGGAGGGGAGTTGTATGGTTGCGGCAACAAAATGCAATAATCTATGATTGACGAGCAAATTATATATAGGTTTACAATGGAATAGATTATTTTTTCTTCCTCCGGTACATAAAATACTACAAAGAGTAAAAGGAGAGAGGGAACTAAAATAAATGAGGAAAAGAAGGATAACTACATGGTACATTATTGTAATCTGTTCGTATTTTTCCTTTACTGCTCTTCATTGCTTATTGCGGCAGGAAACCCCTCCACCAATATTTCCAGGTCCTTGTGAAGGCATTTTTCCTTGCGACATGATTTGGGACCGTCCAGGGCCTTGAACAAATGACTGCCCATTCCAGCACCAACCATTTGATTCTGCTGCTGCTGCAAGTGTTGCTGTTGTAGCTGCTGCTGGAGATGTTGATGCTGCTGTGACTGCTGAAGCTGCTGCTGCTGCTGCTGTTGAAGTTGGTGCTGCTGAAGCTGCGCTGCTGCTGTGTTGTAGTTGTTGCTGCTGCTGTGAGGCTGGGTTGGCTGGACACTTGTGGCTTGAATACAACCATATCCTAGATCATCAGGTGATGAATTTTTGAGGCAGCAAAATAGAAGACAAACAAGGGGAGGGCAAATTTCACTAAACTATGATGATATTTGGGGACATTTACACAAAAATCCCATAACTTTCTTATTAAAGAAAACTAACATGAACTACGAAACTGGAGAAAAATATCATGAAATACTGGAAATTGTTGATCAAGGGTTTATTGGCTTGTATAAATGATGTAAACTACACTTACAAATAGAAGAGGGACAGAGAGAGAGAGAGAGAGAGAGAGAGAGAGAGAGAGAGAGAGAGAAAGAGGAATATATAAGATACGTAAAGTATTTTACGGAAAAATTGTCCAAAGTATGTCACATATGGAACATGTGGTGACAACTTATCCGGTCATCAAAAATGGTAGTGAGAAAAGTTTATGGAAATTTTCTCTAATACAAAAAGTTCATAGTAGTCTTGTGAAATTTACCCAAAAAGAAAACAAATAACACAGAAGAAAAGAAAAATGTGATCAGGTAATACAATAAAATACCCCAGGAAAAAGCATTCCAATCAAACGAGCAGCCTTCTCAGTAACTGACAGCAACAGTGTCTGTGAAGGTAGCTGGATAACAGCACACTGAAACAATAAAAACAAAATGTTAAAACTTTGGTGCACTCACACGTTAGGGCATATTATTTGTAATGTAATTGTGCGCAACTGGAACGTTATGGGCACAGCTGCAGCTGTTTGTTTCACTGCCACCAATAACTGCAGTTGCAAAAAACCTTAGTCGCAGAAAATGACTATGCAGATGTTGATATAAGCCTTAGTTGCAAGTTGCAACCTTCTAGGTTGCAAATGGGTTTAAATTGCAACTCCAATTGAAATCAACATTGGATAGAAGTTTAAAGAGCCTGATAAACCAAAACATAACTATAAATACAAATTGCAAAACTTTAAAACTAAATAAGCAACTACAGCTAAAAGTAACTATAACACAACTTACAAATTAAAAACTAAAAAACCACACAACTGCATCTAGAACTGTATGTGACAACAGTTGCGGTAATTGCAGTTGCATACAACTCCAATTGCATAGCATTTACCATTTCAACGAATCAAATAACCCGTAATTAAAAGTTTCCTGTAAAAAATCAGACTGAGAGGAGATTCCCAGTTTCTAATAGGACCCAAGCCACAAGTTATGAAATGAATGCCAGAATTATCATAAGAAAAAGCCTCCAGATGCTTACTGCTGACAGAGCAAATATGCAACTTATAGCAAAATTTTCAAGCTCATGATAGAGTCCTGAGACTTCCGCCTATAGGAGTTTGACAATTTACATCAACCTTACATGAAAAGTCACTCAACACCATGAAGACACATGAGAAATGATAGGCATTGTGACTAATTATGCTCTAATTTGTTTATGTAAAGTGAGGTCACTAAGTAAACTAATAGATCACATAGTTATAAATTTGTTGGCTTCAATTCATATTAAGTGCAAAGTTTAGTGTTAAATTGGTTAATTAAGTAATGTGATTAATTATTTTCTACTCTCTCTGATCTTGATCTTCCTATTGCCCTTAGAAAATGTAAACGATCTACTACAACTCATCCCATATCCAATTTTATCTCTTATGATCATATCAACCCATCATTTCACCAGTTTGCATTGTTTTTGTCTACTGAATCTATACCCAAATCTTATGAAGAGGCAATGTTAGTTCCTGCCTGGAAGCAGGCTATGAATGAGGAGATGGATGCACGTGTCTCTAGGGGAACTTGGGATTTGATCCCCACTCCCAACAGGGGTAGATGTTGTTGGTTGTCAATGAGTGTATACTTTGAAGTGTTGGCCAGATAGCTCTGTGGATAGATATAAAGTCCGATTTGTTGCTAAAGTCTACCTCAGACGTATGGGGTTGACTACTTTGAAACCTTCTTCCCAGTTGCTCGTTTGAATTCTATCAGGATATTATTCTCCATTGTTGTTAATCTTAAGTGATCCATGTTCCAACTTGATGTGAAGAATGCATTCTTATATGGTGATCTGCAGGAGGAGGTTTATATGAAGCAATCTCCAGGATATGTTGCTTGGGGAGAGAATACTTCATACAGGCTTAAGAACGCAATTTATGACCTCAAACAGAGTCCGAAGGCATGGTTTGACAAGTTCAGCAATGTGATTTCTAGTGTTGGATTTTAGAGATGTCACTCGGATCATTTTGAATTTATTCGCCGCACTGCATTTGGACTAGTTGTTTTGGCTGTATATATTCATGACATTTACTGACTGGGAATGATACAGCTGATTTGGCAGAGACAAGTATTTGAGAAAATATTTTGTGACTAAGGATATGGGCAAGCAGAAATATTTCCTAGTGATTGAAATAGGCTACCAAAAACATAGTTTGCTTCTTTCCCAAAAAAAGTATGCCTTGATCTTCTGGAGGAGACTGCTCTTTTGGAGTGCAAGCCTACAAGTACCCAATGGAAGCAAATGAGGATTTCTGGTCTAAGGACAGTAAACTTTTTGATGACACTAAATGAAGATTTTGTTCTGCCCAGATCTATTAATCAGTCTGCTATTTACAATGCTAAGAATCTTGTTTTTTCATGAAAAGACAAACATATTCAGGTTGATTGCCATTTTGTTGGGGATGCGGTGATGAAAAATTTGATTCACACTTCATTCGCACATTCTTCAGAACAGTTGGCAGACATTCTCACGAAGACGGTTTCACCTAAAGTATTTCCTATTTTATGTAATAAGCTGGTTCTAGCTTGAGGGGGAGTGTTAAATTGGTTAATTAAGTACTGGTTCTTTTTCTTTATCAAGCAGAAAAGAAAATGATAAAGGGAACAATGAAATAAAAGAATGGGGCTAACATAGTGACTGCTAGCTTAGCAAAGATGGCCAAATTCAACTCAACCATTTGCGATATAATTTAAAATTTTAAAGATTTGCGATAATTATTATCTAATTTGTTTATGTAAATTGCGGCCACTACATAAACTAATAGATTTCACATAGTTTAAAATTTCTTGGTACGAGTTCATACCAAGTAAAAGTTCAGCTGAAAAGCAAATGACAAAGGAAACAAGGAACTAAAAGAATGTGGCTAACGTAGTAACTGCTAGCCTAGCAAAGAGGGGCATATTCAGCTCAACCATTTGCAATATTTCAATATTTAAATATGAAACACAGTTAAAGGAGAACCGTTACTCACAAGCTTCTTTTCTTGCAGTTGTCCAAGGAATCCATGTTGATTAAGCGTTCGAAACACCAAAAAATCTGCCTTACCAACATATTGCCTGAATTAAATGAATTTAAAATTTAAGATAAACACAGAAGCAAACATCCGGATATCTAAGTAAGGAAATTATCACAAAATAATGGGAATGCCATTAAAAGGATAAAGGAAATAATAAAATAATGGGAATTGAATAAAATCAAGATAGTTGGGATTTAACTTGTTATTCATGTGATCCTGTGCTATGAGGCGAACAATTTGCATTGCTGGTGGCCAGTCTGCTGCAAGCCTGAAATTATCACAAAATTTAATCATCCCACAGAGGTTTATGAGCTTCACTTCTATACACCATCATGACATCAAAAATTCAACAATAGAAGTTGCAAAAATGAGTAAGAGAGTTGATCAAACTATTCAAAAAGAGCAGCTAAGGATTAGTAACTCAAGGAGCAACTAAGAGTTGGCAACTTTTGTCTAAAGAAGCAGAAACACATAAGATGCACACGATAAAAACAAGCAAACAAAAAATTGATAAACATAAACAATCTAAAAAACATGTACCATAGTAACAATAAATATTCTAGTATTATCTCTGAAAAAATTATGATATATTAGCTGTATAAATCAAAATAATCATCAACCAGAATTTATTAGAAGCCTGTCAATATATTTTATGCAGTTGGAGCAAAGTACTTGATGATCTCGCTTCCAGCATGCACATGACACTGACATGCAAGTTCAGAATCTACATATCATAGTTAGCTTCTGGATCTTCACAGTTTGCAAGTTCGTCTAAGTTCATGCCTTGTTTTTTGTATGATAGTAGCAATTACCAAAAGCGCAAAGGTTTAGTTCATAGGTTAGACAAATGGAATTTAGTTTAACAAGTACTCTTGAACAAGACATATACTAGGACAAGTTGAAGGAGATAATTACTTCCAAAATTAAAAGATTTGAGAAATTTTGCATTTGTTCCCACATGGAAGGCATGAAAGCTTCCATCTCCAGAAAAAAGGAAATACGTTTTAACATTAATTGGGTCTGTCACACCCCGGGCTTGCGAGCCCATTGCCGCAATGTAAACTATAGGACCTATTGAGCGCAACACATGGTTTGGCTCAATCCACCGCAAAAATTGACTAGTCAATGTTGCACTTGACTCCTTGGACTTACAATATAAACCATTCAATCACTCAATCAATATCCGATGTGGCAATAAATCTTGAGGTATCACGATCACCCCACCTTAATTAAACGACGTCCTCATCGCGACATGACGTCCCATTGTCACCAACAGATGATGTGGACTCTAGAGGTGGCTCTCATCACACTCACGCGATGTAGCACTTTGTCCCACGTAGCATTTAGCTTCATATTTCGGACTAGCTAACTGCTCTTATACCATTTGTCACGCCCCAGGACTGCGAGCTAGTTGGCGCGATGTAAGTCGTACTAAGTGCAACACATAGTTTAGTTCAATACACTACTAAACTTGACTAGTAATATTGCACTTGACTCCTTGGACTTACATTATAAATAATTCAATCCCTCAGTTAATATCCGGTGTGGGACTAAACACTGGGGTATCACAAGGTCTAACAGCCTCAATGACATTTTACTTACTGGGTTTAGGTGCAATACTTAGAAACATCCTTGCTTTTACCTTCGAGCATAATCTTACTCTAGTATCAACTCAAAGCACTGTATTGTGTTTAGGTCCAATTCTAAACCAACTAAACCTCTATAGAGCTCAATCTGTAGATTTCACACTACCCAACCTCAAGGGGGGTTGATGAAACCCTCATTGAACCCAATTTGGGTAGGGTAAGGTTGAGGCCAGATAAAGAAAACTATTTTAAGCCAGGCACTTCATTTGTGGTGCATATATAGCCAGTTAAGTGAAAGGGCAGGTCTTATCATGCAGAGCCTGAGAGAAAATTAGTGCCGAGAGTAGGACGATAAGCCAGAGAGGTCAGGACAGAATTTGTGTCCAACTCTAGGCCATCCTTCAACTTTGTTAAAATGCAAGTAAGATGGTAAGAGTCAGTCTTAAAGGAAATACAAATGAGGGAAGGAGAAAGGTACTCTCATTTCATTTAGCCCCTAGTAACCAAATGGATGCCACATAGGAAACTTGAAGTACAGAAAGATTACAGTTAGCTCTCATTTTATAAATCTAGGTATTATAGATGGCCCTGATAACCCTGGGATATTGATGAGTAAGTTCTCCCATTGTTCTTTAAATTCTCTTTTTGTGAAATAAAGAGCTATGTGCTAATAGTTTAAGCAAGATTTAAGTGCACATGACTAAATCCGCATTCTCTTCCTATTAGCTATCCCAAGGAATTTTACCACACATATTTTACCACACATATCTAACCATCATTGAGTTTCCATGCATCGTACTCAACACATCTTCATGCGAGCAGCTGAATCATGAAAAGCTTGCTCAAAACACACATCATAATACAAGAATTGGAAACTGCAGGCAATAGATACTCATATGTATCCAAGGATGGAGATTACAATCATTAAGAGGATCCAATTCTGAGTCACAAGACTACAGTTATGTTAATGAAACAGCCATCAACCTGTGAATATAGGACTTGAAAAAGAATAAGAGACAAAAGATCAAAAAGCGTTGATCTCAAGGTGTTTCTTTTGTTGTGAGATATTGAGATGTAGAGAACTTCAGCCCTAATTGCAATACTATGCTGCATGAAGAACATTCACACGAAAATGAATTCAAACATTAAATGAATTAAAATTTTACTTGTACCCAAAGGGATTGGATTAACATATAGTTCTCTATCTGGTGAAGTTACCAATTACATTTAAGAAAAATTGCAATGTCAAAAACTAAACCATTAAGTACGTGTACCAAAGTTTCATGAAGTTACAAAGGGACTCACGTTTCTGCTGCTGTTATACTCCTGTAACCCTGCACAATGGTACAAAATGCACTCATCTCAGTACATTCATTTAATAACATAACATTTTCTTTTGAATGTTGTGTGTTCATAATTAAATTCTTAATATGGCATGTGCAGAGTTACTGAGCCTTCTTAGTATGCTCAATTGGAAATTAAGCTTCCCATGTTAAAAAAAAAGCTATGAAAACTTCACTACAAGATTATTTTCCTCTATAAGCAACCAATTGTTCATTTTTGGTAGTACGGTGCTACAGCTGCACTTGCATACAATTGTGACATTATCAGCAAGTTTCAGCTGCTTTCTCACTGCCCTTAAGAGGCTGTTTACTTTGCCGCAAAAATAAAATGTCGCACATGTTGCAGCAACAAACACTGCATGCAACATTTGTTGCGGGAAATCAACTTCAAAACCACTGTTAGGATATCTGCAATTTACTGTGGAAAATGTATTTTCAACACAAACTCAGTGTTTGCTTGAAACTTACTTCAAGCTTACATATAAACACTGGCTGCCCTTGCCTCTGTCCTGATAAAGCCCCCTACATGTAGATAAAGATCAAGTCTCAAAAACTAATCAATCACAAAATAAACATTCATACGTAGGATAAGCTAACAGTGGTGGTGCCCAACAATTTCAAATGATGACCTCAAGATTGATAGTGGTTGTAATTTCACATAAAGAGTAAAGAATCAACCAACTGCAAAAGACTTGGCTGAATGCCTTAGCTTATCTAAGAATTTACCATTACATGATCAGGCAAGAACCTCAACTAAGGGTTGTTTCACATGTAAAATACTGTGGATTGACGTGTGTATATTATTTATAACTTATCTGAGAAATATTACGTTTTTAATTTATTTGTGCGTGTCAATGCTCTGACATGAAAAAACCAACTATCATGTTTTACCTCCCAAATTTTAACGTACTTCGACTGCGATTGCTGAACACCAGAAGCAAGTGGTGCCATAGGCATGTTAATTGTAGAATTATTGTTCAAACCTAGAGAATTTACACCTCCTTGCTGCGACATTCCAGGGGTAGGCATCATGGTGCCAGCTCCAGAAGAAATACTGGTAGCCCCAAGGTTATTCATTATATTCTGGTTCATGCCAATACCACCTTGCCCTAACTGTCCGCTTGAGGACAGACTCCCCATCCCAGTGTTTCCTTGAAGGTTCCCCATTGCTGATGAAATGCCAATATTAGAATTTCCTGATATGTTTGAAGAAGTTGATGAAAATGACCCGAGAGCTGTATTTTGCCCAAGTTGGGAAGTGGCCATTAGTGCCCCTGATCCAGGTACAGATGTAGTTCCTGCCATAGCAGATGACATTCCACTGGATATCATATTAGACATATGTGCTGCCATTGATGTTCCCCCCATCGTTTGAAGTCCAATAGAACTGGCTCCGGCAATAGAGGCAGAATTCACCATTTGCCGATGTTGATGAGACAGATTATTTAGGATGCTTACATTTGCAGGAGCGGAACCAATAGGACGTATTGACTGTTGAGGATTAACTAAGGGTTTATTCTCGTGTGCAGTTTCACTACTTGCATTAACCTCCTGTGAGGTTGGTGAAGGTGAAGAAGTTTGCAGGCTTGGAACTCCTTGAGAAACAACATTAGAAACGGATGATAGCTGGGAATAAGCAGGTCCAGATACCATTGAAGGCACCGTCGCTGGCTCCTAAAATAAGAAGGTAGAGTTTGGCATTAGATCAATAGAAAATTTTAAAAATCAAATAACGATCTTTTTAATACTCCCAGAGTCAGGGTAATTACCAACTTGACTGTCGCTGCAGGAATGTTCCCAATTTGTTGACGATTGCCCATTGATCCATTAACTGAGGGGGAAATAAAAAAGATAAGCAGTAAGATTGAAGCTAGAATATGTTGTATCTGCTATATTTGAAACAAAAAGTACAACTAACATATTTTACATTTACAGTAAATAGAAAGTTGCATCCAAATAACACCAGAAATCATATCGGAGGGTTCACTGTTCCAACGTTTTAAAGCATTAAGGACATGTTTTTGCTGTGTGAAGAGGTTAAATCCTAAGTGTCCCTGTACCAAACAACTTCCTTGCCCTAATACTTACCAGAGCAAAATTATAACTCAGTTTGTCAAATGAACTCAATTTGTCAAATGACAAACTGTATCACTGGCCTCATATGTAGACAAAGATATCAAAAGCTGAGGTCTACACGTTGATATGGTAGTTTAATGAATTGAGGAAGGAAAAACTTACTATCACATACAAGGGCTTTGCACGTAGTTGGAGACTCTACAGGTGATCAATTCCCAAGGACATGATCTCCCTCGTCAATATGGTGCAAAGACTGATACCATCATGATTTTGAAGTCAGGGTGAAAAAAAAAATCCGTATCCACATATATATTTGTATCTGCATTCAATAGAATATAGATACGATTAACAAACATCTATATCCATAAGATACAGATACGAATACACTTGAAATATCCGGATCTGTATATGATATTTGGATGAATTCGGATATGCTTAATAAATATCTATCTGATAGGATATGAATACGAATAAGGATATGTAATGAAATACCCGGATCCGTATCTGAAATATCCAAATATATGTTGATCATACAATTACAATTGTTTTTACCATTAGATTAATGAATTTGAGGTTAATTTTGATGATCCAAAGATTTGATCTCAAGCTTTCCACCTTGTTTGGATGGAGATGAAAGAAGGACAGGGGAAGGAAGGGGAAGTATTCACTTTGTTTGGAAGGTTTTTATAAAGGAAAATGGAGGTAACAAAATTGACCTTCATTATCCTCCATTCTCTATTATTTGATTCTTCCCACAAATTAGGGTGTAATGCAAGGGAAAGAATTTGGACCATCATGATATGAATCTAGCGGCTAAGATCTCTTCCATTCCCTTTACTAAATTCCTAAACATGATACTATATTTTTCCTTCCCTTTCTTTCCCTCCCCCTGTTCTGTTCTCTACCCTTTTTTTCCTTCTCCTTAATTAGTAAACTCCCAAACATAGTGTTTAGGTATAAAGAATATATTAAGGGACTCTCTTGTATTGTATCATATGACTAATATTTTTTAATCTTATTTGTTTTTCTCGTATCCATTTTGTACCCGCATATATTTTCCTATATGACTAATATATTAAGGGACTCTCTTGTATTGTATCATATGACTAATATTTTTTAATCTTATTTGTTTTTCTCGTATCCATTTTGTACCCGCATATATTTTCCTATATTTAATCTTTATCTGCATCCGATTATGGTGGATATAGAAACGAATTTTTCTTACCAAGACATTCGTATTCATATTCCGTGATTGGTTAGCGGAAACATATCCAATCTGTTTGCACCGCGATTTTGAGGTACCATGATTAGTTTAGCGTTGATAAGGACTTAGAGAAAGAATACTGCTCCCAAGGTTTTATATGGAAGAACTTTCCTCGACTTAAATACATAAGTTGCAAGATGTAATTTCTAATTCTATCAATGAAGTCGCTTGATCTCTATATATAGATGAAACCACAACACTATGCGATTAACTTTTGCCAAATATTATTTACAGCTTTTGCAAGATATTAGTTAGAGACTTTGACTGTCAATAACTTTGGTAGGTCTGCACACATTGATGAAACCACTAAGAGACTTGCTTTTGTTGATGTTTGGAAATTTTGGTTTTCCATATAGCCAGATAGGACTATGAATGAAGAAATTAACTTCTGTCACATGTTATTTGGAGATTTTGACTATTCATAAGGTTAGAAGATCTTCATAAATCGATGAAACAAGTACCAAGAGACTAGCTTATATTGATGATGTTTGAAAATTTTAGTTCTCTATGCACCGAAGTACGTTTAGATGCATGACAGAGATATATGGATATAACAGTTAAATAGGATTAGATGTCGTACTTGTAGTTACTACTAATATTTGTTTTAACTTTTTCCCCAAACATAAATAATACTTGGTCATCTCTACTTGGATTGAGCCATTTCCTTGATATAACATTGTATAAAGCATGTAATGTTTTCACAACCAAAATCCGGACTCTAATACATTGTTCCTTGCTCTACCCCTCCTCTTATCTTCCACTCATCTTAACCTGCCAATAACCCTACTAATCCCTGCAGTGCTCATACCAAACCACCACACATTGTTGCAACATACAGCCACCTTCTCTTTCTTCTCATGACCCATCCCTGCAGTGCTCATACCAAACCACCACACCTTGTTGCAACATCCAGTCACCTTCTCTCTCTTCTCATGACCCATCTACCCTCCTTTCTTCTTCTATTGTGGTCACCTCTTATCCGCTGCATCACTAGCCACTAGTGTCATACAATTGCACATACCACACTAGCCTTCATGTCCCATGTTGCCCCTAACCCTTGCTCCCTGATCCACTGACACTGCCTCTCACCGTATGTTGCCCCGCCGCCTTGCCAAAGTCTCTGCTTTCACACTATGGCTACTAACTTGATTAACAAGTAGTTCCCGAAAAAGTTGATTTGATCAGATCCTACATATGATATGCTCAACCCTTGGTACTAATTCACTATTGATCTATGACTGATCATGTTGTTACCTCTTCAATACTTCAATTTTTCCCTATATATATCTTGATGACTAACACCAAGAAAGCACATAATCTTTTGGGCTTTTAAATTACTACTATAAAGTCGAACACAAAGCTATCTAGCGAGAGAATAGTTTGTACGTGTTTTCTTCAGTAAAAAAAAGGAGAACAAATGTTGGTTATGCTAAAATGACAAGAACTTGATCGATATTCTTGATGGTATAGTTGTTGTAGATTGTAAGGGTTATTCACTACTATTAAAGGAGGCTTTCTAACTGTTCCGGTTTGTTGTTTTTCAGATTATAGGTTATGAATCTTTCATCTAATCTTCTGATAGTTTTCTATTTAAAAATTCTAAAGCACTTCCACTACCAAACGTATTATATCTATTAGAGGTCACAGTGATTGTTGTGGAGTTCACAGACCATAGCATGATTGTTGTGAAGTTCACAGACCATAGCAAAAAATGGGACATTATTTTGTACTTAACATTTGATGAACAGGTGTTGGGAGCTTCATGCCAAGCAAACATGGGCAATTTTATTTTAGTCTGCAATATATTGATGATCTTGACAAGAAACGTAGTTTGTCATGATACTCTGCCTTTTACGTCATATTCAACCAAACTGCCTAACGCAGCGATCCATCTAGTCTGAATTGCCTATAGCAGCTATCTGTCCGTTATAACACCCTACTCCCTTGATAAACTTGTTGAGTTAATTTATTAGTGCACACATTAACCAATGAATAATGCAAAATATGCCTCAAAATGATTCAACTATCGTTCGTCAGAACCCACCTGTCATGTATAGCCTAACAGCAGCAAAACCAAACATACATACATGATAAATTCAACAAACAATAACTCATGCTTCCGATAATTATGGAATGTCTTAAAACATATTTTTCACATGGGGTTCATGCTAGCGCATCAAAATGCAAACATTTGTAAGCAAACAATGAGAAATTTATAAATTAAAGAATCTATAATCCCACTGACATAATATTCGTATTTCCAAGTTCCTCATGTAGTCCTCCACGAGATATTCCTAACTCTTGTTAGGCTCTCCTCGTATAAACACATAGATAAGTATCAATTTTCACCCAATGCATGTATTTATATCTATGCACTAGGTGACTACCTTTCCAACTCTACTTATCCTAGTGTAATCTTTCAAATTGTCTTGGAACAGTCCTCAACATCTTAGCATAATTTATAGAAGTGCTTCGAAGCTCTAAAAACTACTTTAGTTGTCATAGGAGTATTCATGTAATTTCTAAAAATTGCAAGAGTATTTTTGTAATTTCTGATAACTGCAGGGGTATTTCTGTAATTTTTGAAACAATAGGCTGATCTTAACATGTCCATATTATTCAAGCCTCAAACATGAATTTTCACATCATTTTGCATTTATTTCTTAGGATATTGGTAATAGTTGGACTAAAAAGTAATATCATACAACTGGAAGTAATTTCCCTTTCCTCCAATTACTGTTTCCTCTTGCTGTAGCATCAGCTATTCTCATGGATTCTAAAAACCCAACAAGTTCAAGCATTGTCTCTTAGCTATACACTAAATCCAAATAACGAAAACATATTTGTAAAACGGTAAGCATATTATCCTAAAATCAAGTAGTAGCCTGAGGACTATACTGCTTAGGGGAGGGTTAGTCATCTAGAACTTAAAACTGGAACTGAGATAATTTATGGGATAAATTTTTAAGGTGTTAGTCACATAGAACTAGGAAATGAGATATTTTTTATAGTGTTAGTCAAGTAGAACTTTTGTAGAACTTTTGTAGAACTAGAACTGTATTATTTTTTTTGGTGCGTTAGTCAAGTAGAATTCTACTAGAATTAGAATTAACATAATTGGTCATAATTATCCCACAAATTATACTACCTATATATATAACCATAAGTTCTCCTCTCTCAAATTATCCCACACATTGGAAAGAATACAATTGGGAAAAAAAAAGTGAAACGTCGCCTCCCTCCCTCTTGGTTAGTTTCTCCGCCTAGAAAATTTCTCTGCCATGAAGTCAATTATCCGTTCATTTTTCTGTCTTTACTTTGTTTTTGTGATGATTAGACCTTTTATTATTATTTTCAAGATATATTACTTTATTGATAGCTTTTTGACGTTAAATTACTTTATTATTATTTGTTTGATCTAAGTTTTCTCTCCACAATAGTGGTTTAGGTTAAGAATATAGTGTTGGTGGGTTAGTGCTAAAGATATGCGG